GAGGAATCCCGACAATCCCTCTTTCTTTGTTTTACAGTTGGTTTTGTTTATTTACAAATTGACAAGAGACAATCGCCTGGGACAAACGATGTATATTATTTGATTGTGGAAATACAAAATCACATGCAGTGTATATTTGATTGGTATCTTGTAGGCTATGAATGTATGACCCCCAATAGTCTTTTTATACCGTATAGGAAAAAGCAAAATTACAAAGAAAGCCCAAAGGCCGCTATAATCCCAAAATACCATTTACCTTAAACTGGGAATCCAATATGTTTTTTGGATCATTAAGGCGGAACAGTTCCTTAAAGTTGCGAACATCAAGTGTCGACTAGAACCTAAAACTAGGACTCATTCTATAGTTTCGTGAGGATTTACAATACACAATTATTGCAAGCTACCCAACGGTTGACGGCGGATAAGTTTTAGCGCTAATACCACGAAAAATTCAAAACTGCTACACCTATGAAAAATTTACCATAAACTAATTTTTTGATCACTAAAAACTCCAAATTGGTATACTTATGACAAATTGGATTAATACCACGAAAAATCACAAATTGGTAAACCTTTGACAAACGGAGGAGTAAAATCCCAAACTGGTACACCCTTAAATTATTATGTGTCATCCAATTCAACAATTTAACGGCAAAATTGAACGGAAACCAACGGAGGGTAAATTTGTGACAGGTGTATCAGTTTGGGATTTTTTGTGGTCAAAAAATTAGTTCGAGATAAATCTGTCACATGTATACTGATTTGGGGTTTTCCATGGTATTAACCTTAATTTTTATTTCGACGGTTGTGAATGTCTGTCAATTTAACAATTGACCGTTTGATCTTTCCTTCACTTGCTTGCACCCACTCCGACTACAAAACCCCCCCAACTTCAAACTTTTGGCAGCAGAATTCACAAAAACCCGGGAGCTAAAAATCCATGGTCGAGAGCTCCTGCCCATCGCATGATCCAAGGCAAACTCTCTGGCGAATAACCGAACTGTGAGAAAACAAAGCCAACCTCATTCTTCTTCTTCTCATTCGAAACGAAACGAAGTGAGAACCCCAACCATTTTATCTTCACGATTTCATCAACGCCTAACCCAAAGCCATAATACGCTGCATCTATCCCTCTTGCGCATTGAAGGCATAGTTAAGACCTATGTCCTCTCCAAGTGGTGGCGATGCACCTGGCCTATCGCCACCTACCTCCTTTTCTTTGGCGGCTTCGTGCGCCAGGATGCTTACGCTTGCTAGCCGATCAAAGCCTTCTCTGCCTTTGTAGACCGGGTCCTAGCCCGCGCGGCTCGGCCATGGTGAAGAGGTTTCGGATCACCGGCATCCTCTATCGGGAAGCAAATCACCCTATTCATTCCCTCAAGCTCATATTTCCGATGAAGACGAATCATGACATTCGCGCATGAAAGCATCATGTTTGGAGCAAATCTTACTAAGAGAGTGGAAATTGTTGATTGTGATGTCCGTCATCATGGTTTGTAGCATGTACACTTGTGCTGGAGAAGTTGATCATCAAAGCTAGGATGGATATACCTAGCAAAGAAAAATCATTCGAGGAAGGTAATCTTGGGGAGCTGCTTGATTTGATCCAACGTGTGTAGAGCCACCGAAGCGCTTTTAAACCTGCCTGAGTTATCTTCAATTCTCCCTCCAGGGATGATCGTTTCAAGGCATACGCAAACCTCAGCCCTAACCTAGCGGTGCTTCGGTTGTTGATGCACTGGTCTTCCCTCATTAGACGTTAGGATTTACATGTGCATGGGTCATGCTTTTCTATGAGCTTCGTCTGGTTGGAATTTTTTTTTTATCTTGTCCTACTCTAACTCTCAACTCACTTTTAGACTTTTGCTCTTCTTCTTTACAGAGTGTGGGAGTCGAACCTCACACTTGAAACTAAACGTGCTGCCCTCTAGCCCTCTTGAGAATGTGAGGATCATGGGAAGGGTGGCCATTAGGGCAACCCCCGGTGGTTGATTGAAACTTAGAGAAACACTTAATGCAGAAAGGGATCGTCTTGTGATTTTGTCAGTGAGTGCTCTCGACAACTTTTGCTAAGTAATTGTAAAAAAAAAACATAATCATAATTATTAGCACACTTTCTTTGCTTAACAAATGTTCCTTGTGAGTCATAATAATCGATAAAAATGGCTTTTGTTAAGGAATTGTTCATCTTGCTCGTTTTGGAGTATAGCCTCTGAATTGCAACATAGTTTTCTCGGAGCCCTCATTGGAGAGGAGAAATGGGATTTGAGAATAAGGAAGAAAAGTTTTGCCTCCATATAACCTCGACGAGCTTAGTTATCATGGAATTTGACTAGCTCGTTATATATACTTAAATAGGATTAAAGAAAGAGGTTAGTTGAGGAAGAAGAAAACGAGGGCTATTGGAGATGGATGGCGTGGTTGAACTTTGGTCATTGAATATGTGATATAGTACTACTTTAGATGAACTGCTAGTGATCCTTGTGTAATTAATCTCCATTTGTGCAAAAGTATAGACCCCGATAAGCAATTTTGGACTAGTAGTATCAGGATGAGACATGTCTATACTTCTCATCATATAAGAATTAACATTACTACTCTATTTATATAACGAGAATGCCGATAGTACTTGTATACTTGTAATTCGACGATTGAAATTGCTCAGCTGTGTAATGCGGTCATGTCGTACTTTCTTGCATTGAGATGTTTATCAAAGATCGAGAGGAGTAACGAGAAAATGGGTCCGACCGGTTTCCGATAATGCGCTCAAATCCAAACCGACACGAGCGAAAATCCGTCGAGCCAGACCCTTAGGTGAAACTATCGTAATCGAGCCGGATGAAACGGACTGACTTTTGTTCGCAGGGCCAGAACAATTTCAATTGAAATCGCACCAAATTGTATTTGAACTCGAATCAACTGAATTTCTCTTCCTTTTAATTTTTTATTCGAATGAACACGAAATTGGAAAGGAAAGAAATGGAATTTGACCCAATAAAAAAGGGAAGAGAAAGGAAGAGAAAGGCACATATTCTCAAGCGGAAAAGCACCACACAACAAATATCGTATACCACTACCTGAAAAAAAAAAAAAAGTGGGGAAAATAAAAAGGGAAAAATAAAATAAAAATGAAGAAAAAGCAAAAGCGCTTTGTGTCCAGACTTGCGGTATATAGCTTCCGAAGCCCCTCCCGCCGTCGATCCCGCCACCCGCCCGCACCCTCACTCGCGCTACGGGCGCTACACGTGTCCCATCAGAATCATCGCCCTCCTCAGCAACCCCATTTTTTTTTTATATAAAAGTTGACGTCAACCCCCCTCCCCGGAGCGATGCGAGGAAAGGCGAAAAGCGGGAGATTAAAAAAAATAAAGGAAATTATATAATTGGTTCCCGAATTTTTGACTCGATGTGTAGCGCGGTGCCTAGCTGAAATTTAACCTAATGTGTAATATAGTCCATGAACTTTTAATCTGTTCGATATGCTCACTGAGCTTTTGGTAAATGTTCAATTTAGTCATCGGTTCCCTGCAAAAAGAATTTAGTCCCTAGTCCGATGTAGTCCCTGAACTTGAATTAATAGAAGGGATAATGACACAAACAGTTCTTGAACTTTAGCTCGAACGTGTAATTTGGTCCATTAATTTTTGCTTTGTTTAATGTAGTTATTGAACTTTACCCTAATATTCAATATGGCCCATGAACTTTGTTCAATTTAATTGTCGAACTATATGAAAATATTCAATGTAGTCCCCGAATATGGTCCCTGCTCAGGGACCATATTCGGGGACTACATTGAATATTTTTCATATAATTCGGGAACTGAAATGAAAAGTTCAGGGGCCACATTGCAAATTAAACGTTTAGGGACTATATATTGAACAAATTAAACGTTCATGGACGACAATGCAAGTTCGGGCCAAAGCTCGAGGACCATAAATCTTCGCGTCATCACCTCACAGAAAAATTGCGATAAAGCCACCCACCACGTGTTAGGCGGAATCGGGCGAGAGCGGGAGGTCTGGCCGCACCCGAGCTCGTGGCAGGGGCGGTTGGGGCGTTGTCCGTTTTTTGTTGTAATTAAGGGTGCGTTTGTTTTTCGGATTTTCACCCGTTTAGTTCACAGAAAATGATTAGTCAACCGAAAATACTTTTCGGTCAAGGAAAACATTCATATATAAGATTAGGAAAGTGAATTCCCTAATCAAGAAGGTGAAAACACTTTCCGGAATTGCTTCCCTTTACTTTTTTAATATTTTATCCTTTTCTTTTTTTCTTTTTTTAAAAATTCGAATTTTTTTTTTGCTTGAGATAAAATCATGGGATTAAAATCATTTTCCAAACATTTTTCAAATGAGATCCAAACACTAGAAAATGTTTTCGATAACGTATCACCAAACAAAGGAAAACTAACTATTTTCCTGAAAAATGAGTTTTTGAAAAACATTTTCCGAAAATGTTACATTTTTTATGAAACAAACGTACCCTAAATTATTAATTTTTTAAAATTACGAGATCGAAATCATTTTCCAAATGAGATCCAAACACTGGAAAATGTTTTCGATCACATATCACCAAACAAATGAAAACTAACTATTTTCCTGGAAAATGATTTTTCGGAAAACATTTTCCAAAAAAGTTACATTTTCCGTGAAACAAACGTACCTTAAATTATTAATTTTTTAAAATCATGGGATTGAAATCATCTTCCAAACATTTTCCAAATGAGATCCAAACACTAGAAAATATTTTCGATCACATATCACCAAACAAAGAAAAACTATTCATTTTTCTGAAAAATATTTTCCTAAAAAATAATTTTTCAAAATATTTTTCAAAAACGTTATATTTTCCGTGAAACGAACGCATTCTAAATTATTAATTTTTCCGAAAACGGAAGGGGGGCGAAGGGTAAAAAAACAGGAAAAAAAAAAGAAAAGGGCACGAAGCGATGGACTGTCTGGTTCTGTGCGAAGACTCATTGGATGGTTGGTTTTTATTCTCTCTCTCTCTCTCCTCCTCCCTTCCCTCTTTCTCTCTCTTCCTCCCTCGTTTCTGTGGAGGCGAAGACACGAAGCGCTTTCTCTCTCCTCCCTCCCCCTCTCTCTCTCTCTCTCTCTCTAGAGGCCAGCCAGCGCCCATTCCTCTCGGTCTCTCCCTCGCCCCCGCTCGCGACCGAGTGCGAGGACGGCGGCGGCGGCGGCGGCGGTGGTGGGGGGGGCGGTGAAGCGGTTCCCGGGGGTCGCGGCGGCATCGGGCGGCTGATCCCGGCGTCGGCGTCGTCGTCGGCGGCGGCCGGCGGCGGAATGCGAGCTCCGGCGGGGACGGCGGCCCTCCTCCTCCTCCTGCGGCGGCGGCGATAGTAAGTTGGCGGCGGCGATAGTAGGTTGGCGGCGGCGGCGGCGGGCGATGGAGTGATGGCGTTCGACGCTGGAATTCCGATGCCGCGGGGGTCCGTTGCCGACGGCCCCTCTCTCTCTCCGTCAGGTCGGTCTCTCTCTGTCTTGGCTCGAAATGTTGATGGCGAGGGCCGATCGTCGTTTGGAATGGTGCGGCGGAACCTCGTTGGCCGTGGAGGTTCCGCGTTGTGGGATTCGCCCGTTTTTGTGTCTCTCCTCTGATGCTGATCAATGTGCTGCTTTCGTTCGTGTTTTCATTCTCTCTCTCTCGCTCGCGATGACATGCTTGCTCTGCCGTCGCGTTCTCTCGTTGCTTTTTCTCCTCGCTCGAGTGTTACGCGTGATCCCCGTTTGCGTTTGGGCGCTTGTCCCTTTCTCGACACTGCGCTGGTTGGTTCCTCCTGTCGTGCAACGTGTCGATGGTGCCCTCCGGTGTTTCATATGTGGTTTGATTCTCATCACGTCTCGGGTTTGCGATCTTGTCTGAGCGACTCCGTTTGCATTGTCAGCGAGCGTAGGCAATAACGGCATGTGGTGATAATGTATTTCTATCTTGTTGTTAGGTTGTTTCTATCTTTTGGGTATTGAGTATGAGATGATCAAGGAAATTCACAGTTAGTGCAATCGCAATTTCTGCAAAATGAAGCTATCTTTCTTTATTCGACTATTATATTATGTATTTTAAATCAGTGGCATTTTTCTAGTTTGTTCCCTATATTTACAAAAGATGCAGGGGGGGGGGGGTTTATATTTTGTATTTTGTGTTTCTCTTTTGCTTCCATTCATTTGTTGATTAACGGTGGCGCAAAATTGTCCTGTTTAGACATGTCTTATGGGAAAAGTTCCATACTTTGGTCTTCTTCCTCAGTTAATGTTGGCCATATGATTGGTAGATTCAACTGACTGTTATAGCTGTTGGTCTGATACCTTTTCTTCACTGTGGCTCATTGTTAGTTTTGATTGCTTTCATTTCGAATGAATTAGCAATTAGTTTAGCACTCAGATGCTTTGGTAAAGATTTCAGCTTGGCATTGAAGCAAGGTGATATTTCATCTTTATATTTTTACTGGGGTGAACATCTTTTAGCTTCTGACTTCCTTCCAGAACTGACCATCTTGGTGGCATTCCTGTGGTGTAAAGATTGAGAGGATGGGGCAAGATCCTGGGATCACATCTTTGCCTCTTTGGATCTAGAAAGTTTGTGCCGTAGGCAAAAAGAAAAATAGAGAGATCCTTGCAAAGCTACCTTCTAGTTTTGGAAGGTGTTTATTTAGCGAGACGGCTTTCGATTTTAACAAGATAATACGCTTCTCATAAATTATTTATAAGATTGGTCGTGCCAAATCGGACGTTTCATTATTGCATTTTTTGTGATGGACAATTTCTCGGTGAAATAAATATTACTAATTGTGACACTTACATTATCTTTTGAATTTTGATATGATCTGGCAATAGTCTTTCTGAAATTAATTTCTTTGTCGTTTCAGATGCGATGTGGCAAATGACTTTACGATCCAACGAAACCATGGAATCGGGGCCCTACCCTGAGCGTCCTGGGGAGCCAGACTGTTCTTATTACATTAGAACAGGCCTTTGTAGATTTGGTGCTACATGTCGATTTAATCATCCATCTGACAGGAAGCTGGTATAAACAGTAGCATTTTTTAATATGTTTTTGGCACATTAGTAGGGAGAATTCGTTTCTCAATAAGATTTTATTCAGCAAGAAAAGAAAAAGAAAAAAAGAAAAAACACAGAAGCAGGGGAGCAATCCTTCTACAAGCTCAGAAACACAAGTTCAGGCACTAGGGACTTGAGCCCTCGTTACAACTTATGATCCGATGTCTTTCTAAAGAAACGTTTCTGCGCACATATGCACAAGATCGAAGTCCGTCACTAACAAGTCTTTTAACCTGAGAAAGAATAGAATCAGAACTTACTGAAGAAGAAGGACTATGAGGGCAGCTAATTATGCTCAAAAGTAAGATCAAACTGGTTTGTGGATCTATATTTCAGTCAGAATGCTGGAGAATTAATGCAGCATAGTGAGTATTACGTGAAACAAACTTCCATAGTTAGCTTTTGCAGAACAGTACTCTTTCTCACCAGATTCTGTTAGTATTACATGATTCTCACCACACCCATTAGGAGTTGCAGTAAGTACTGCATAAGTTTGTGAGCTCTATTAAGCAGCTTTTGCGATTGTAGTCTATGTAAGTTTGCCTTTGCACATGCACATGAGTACATATAAGGACCAAGATGACAGTCTCTCTTGCTTAAGCATATTTTGTCATTCAGCTCATGTGCTAGCCTATGAGTGCTGTAAGTTTGATGCTCTGAGAAGCGTGTCATACATCCAGTCACATGCTTGAAGACTAACCGAATTAATTGACTATCTAGTATTTTGCTCCCCCCCCTTGCTGTTTCCCTAGGTATGAATGCATCATAAAATGTTCGAATATCCTCTGTTTAGTGTTCTCATGTATAATGAGATTTAATCACTACATTCTGCATTGTAGGCTATAGCTAATGCAAGAATGAAGGGGGAGTACCCAGAGAGAGTCGGGCAGCCAGAATGTCAGGCATGTGTTTCTTCTCACTTCATATCGCAGAAGATTTTCTGAAACAACTGATCTATTTTAGTATGACAGGGGCAAATTGTACTTGAAGGGAACTACTAATGGCTGATGTCTAGGATATTAGACATGCGAAAGCAACTTATCAAGAGAGATTGTTGAAAATCTTACTCGTTGATCATTGGTAACTGATAATAAACTTCCTGGAATTTAACTCCCAATGACATGCTACTTAGTAAGAAAAAAACATGATTTAATGTACTTTTTAATATCCTACTCCCTTGTGAGTTCATGTAGAATTGTTGGTCCTGGAGTGGTTGTGAAGAAGTGTAGAGTAATGGAAACAGTTTGTTAAGAGGACCGAGTCTACATAACACATAATTACCCTTTAAGTTGTTCCTTAATTTAGAAGTGTGGGAACCATCTGACAGGTTAAATATTGATGTCATCATCATCCATTATATCTAGATCATCTTTTTTTCCCCTCTTCAGCGTTTACGTTTATGGTTTCTGAAGAATGTTTCTGTTATTTTCCACATTCCAGTACTATCTGAAGACAGGGACTTGCAAATTTGGAGCCACATGCAAGTTTCATCATCCTAGAGACAAGGCTGGGATTGCAGGAAAAGTTGCTTTAAATATCTTAGGCTACCCATTTCGCCCGGTTTGACTATTTTCCTTCACTTGCAAGAGTTACGCTCAAATTGAGTAATACTCGATTATACTTTATATGAATTATGTAATTGTAATTGGGCTTCATCGTTTTTCATCTTGTACCTTGATTGGCATCATCTGCTCATGTCACTTTTTGATTGGTTTGAAGATACACTTTTTAGGGAGTGGGATCATGACATGCTTCATATTGAATGGATTGTTTGTAGGACAAGATGATTTGGCCATAGTATTTAATTGAAAAGATTATTTATACATGCATTACACTTGTCCTTGCTAAGTGTTAAATAAGAAGGGAATTGAAGCTGCCACTCAGTCCTTCTATGTGAATATTCCTGATGAGGTTCCTCATTGAGTGAGTTATGCAACTGAAGAGATAATATTCGTTAAAGAGGACTCATTATTTGCCTGGGCACATGGGGGAGATTGGATAATAGAAAAGGACTTGGGAGCTCTTATAGAATAATATGGGTGTCGTAAGCTTTGAATTGGAAAATTATAGAAAGCAGATGACGCATGATCATGTGAGAGAGTTTACTCTTAATTAGCTGGACGTCACCAATACTTGGATAAAGTAGGATCCTAGGACAAGTATCCAATTTGATAATAAGGATTTCCTGCTGGTTTTGACTCACATTACCCCCGTGAATCAATCCCTTAAATTTGATGCATTAAGTTCTGCTGAGGAGTTTTGCGTGCAACAGCAACTTTAGGAATGTCATATTATTGCTTTTTCAGACTTGGCTCTGACTTGTGAAGCTGTCGTCCTATTTAAAGTGAATTAAGTGCTTATGTATTTGTTCCTCATGGGCCTATCCTTTTGTTTAGGTTGATGCTATATGTTTTGTGGATACTATTCTTCTTTAGCTTGGACTCACAATGCCGTTCTCTTCTTTTGGCCAGAATGAGATGGAGTGTGCATACTATTTAAGAACTGGACAATGTAAGTTTGGAAGCACTTGCAAGTTCCACCATCCTCAGCCTACTAATATGATGGTTTCACTGCGCGGTTCTCCTGTGTACCCTTCGGTTCAGTCTCCTACTACTCCAGCTCAACAGTCATATCCAGGAGTTACAAGCTGGTCCAGAGCATCTTTTATCCCTAGTCCTCGTTGGCAAGGTCCTTCAAGTTACACTCCCTTGATTGTTCCTCAGGGCATGGTATCAATTCCTGGCTGGAATGCCTACAGTGTATGCCTTTCTTTACCCTGTGCTAGCAAAGTGCTGCTGTGTGCTCTAAAGATGCATAATCAAGCTTTGTGTGGTTAGTCTAGTATCAGGAAAAAAAAAATTCTGAGGAGCTACATATACAAAAAGGCATTTTCTCTGGGACATCCTTTCCATATCAAGCTGTAGTTTCTTACCTCTCTGCAAATGTGTCATGAATTTTGAGAAGATGCCGTGAGTCGTGCATGTGTTCTTGACATTTTTTTTTATTCTTTTGAATAATTAGTTGTTGGTGCTACACTGAAAAAGGAAACTTCTCTTGCCAATAAATTGAAGATTGGTGTTCTGATGGTTATTTCTGAATTTTTTAAACTAAAGATGGTGTACTCTGGTGGCATTGTAGAAGGCAGTTCTAGGCCCTGCAATGGATAAGGAAGTTTTTTCCGTCAATGAATGTGCCATGTCTTTTAGTCTCTTGTCTTGAGTATGGTAATCAACTGTCTACGAAGTCCGCCTCTCTTAACAAGTTTTGGTCTTTGACAATTTCTGATGCTTAAAATGTTCCTAGACCATGTGACTTGCTTTTATGTTGTCCATGTGAGAGGGATGGTGTGCCTAGGTGGGATTAGCCCGAGCACTGACGAGGAATGGTTGATTGCAGAGGTGGACTGGGAAGTTTATACGATCAATGTATGTACCATGTCTTTTAGGTTTGCTTGTCTCCAGCGTGGTTAATGACTCCTGGGCAAAGCATTTCCCCTCTGACAAGTAAAGTCATATACATACTGATTTTTTATATTTTCAAAATGTTTCTAGATAAGGTACGTTGTTATTCCAAAGTTATTCCATCCCCCTCATGTTCATGGTGATATAACGTTTTACATGTTGCTAGGAAGGATCGTTAGCTTTCCTTTAGCCTACTGGCTTTAGAGGCCTCTCTCAAACACAAGGATAGGAGTACGGAAGTTGGTAGAGAGAGAGAGCTTACCTCAAAAAGATTTGCGAAGAGGATTCCTGAGGAATGACTGGTTGCAGAGAAGTTGGGGAGATTTAGAATGAATTCCAGTTCTGTGAATTGATTTTTGAGTTCATCAGAGTAAGAGCTATGGGGGATTGCCTAAGGAAGGACTAGGATTAGCCCGGAGGATCATTAAGGGATTTTTCTGAGGAGTTGCAAATGTTTAACGAATGTCTTCTCGTGGTTCCGTGAAATCATAAATCTTTTGGTTTATGAGAGTGGTAATGGTCATTGCAGTGGCATCGAATTTTGCTGCACTGGAACTTGGCAGTTTCCATATGAAAATATATTGGGATCTAATGTAAAAGATTTGACATAATTCTGTAATTGGTGAAGAACATCAAAAGTTTGAGTTGTATAATAAATCTTCTGCAATAATAAAATTACAAAATGTTAGTCAACCTGGGGCACTTTAAGATGATCATGTTGAATTCACGTTATGGTGAAATGATGCAGTCTTGCATGCCAAATTCTTGGGTATTAAATGTGCCATCATAATGGTCAATAGCTTGCTGGAAATTAACTATATGAACATCCTGTCAATAAGTTTGCGCTCTTATTGAGTGGGTTAAATCTGTGGCTGTGGATTTTCATTGAAAAGGAATAAAGATGTTGCGCTGTTTGATGCAGAAAAGATTGTAAGTACCTGCAGGATAGAGGAGTATATATGTATCCCAGGAATGCCTTACAGCAGAGACCACAGTGAAAGTTTGAGGCATGTTGAATGAATTACTGTGCTAGGAGTCCTAAGAGGATTTGATTTCCATTTCAAATAAGAGATCCAAGTTGCAATCATGTACATTTAGGAAAGCATTAGTTAGTTATTCTGGTTATTCTTGAGTAGATATGTTTTTCTCGCGGTATGGGACCCATAAAATCAAGTTCATGCATCTGTATCGATATACTTTCGTATTCTATTGAAGCACAATCTAGAATCACCGCTGTGCTTAGCATGTCCTTTCATATGATATTCCACCACTTAAGGTGCTTCAGAGAATCTTAATTTAGTTATTTTTAATGCAACTAGTAAATTGTGACTGTGGCGTGTATATAAGAATGTTATGTTTTCAGGGTCAACTGGGGTCAGTTTCATCTTCAGATAGCCAGCTTATAATGATGGGACAAAGTCAGATTTTTGGAAGTTCTGGCCAGAGCGATTCAAATGCTGGATCTCCAGGGGCGTTCTCATCATACCAATCTGGCTCTGTGCCTGTTGGTTTCTATGCATTGCAGAGAGATAACATATTTCCCGAGAGACCTGGGCAGCCCGAGTGCCAGTTTTACATGAAGACAGGAGACTGCAAGTTCGGTGCAGTTTGCAGGTTTCATCACCCCAGAGAGAGATTACTTCCTGCTCCAGATTGTCTTTTGAGCTCCATAGGCCTTCCATTACGTCCGGTTGGTTAACAATCTTATGCTGATTTTACTGAATTTTCTCGATCCTCTGTTGCATTTTCACCGACATTAACTGCCGTTGAGCGACCTGTTTACGTTTCCTTTTTTTTAATTGCATCCAAGACATGCCTGCTTAAGAGAGCAAAGGATTTACTTCGCTTGGATCATTTGTTGTGACTTGTTAGGTCTTTACTCTTGCCACCCATGACAATTGAATGCTTTCAACAGGGAGAACCGCTGTGCATATTCTATTCCCGTTATGGTATCTGCAAGTTTGGACCAAGTTGCAAGTTTGACCATCCTATGGGTATCTTAAATAGTCTCTCTGCATCTTCTCCATCGGGTGCTCCTGTTCGACGTATGTTAGCATCTTCATCTGGAACTGCTGCATTGGTTTTATCTGAATCAGGCCCAGGGAACCCTAGGAGACTTTCATTGTCAGAGACAAGACAGATACCTTCTGCTGATGACAACATCGACTCAGACGAATAAAGACTCCTTCAAGAAGAGAACCTCTGTTCATTTGTGCAATCTCTTGGAGGTGGAGAAAGAGTTGTCTGTAAATCATTGCTTACGGATTGAGATGTACAGAGTTTATATTTGTTGCTTCTGTTCTCCTGAAGTGCACTTCAGTCAACCAAAAACTCCTCCAAGTATCCATTTTGTTGCACTCTGTAAATCTGAAAATATGTCACATATGGCAAAACCAATGTGAACATTTCATCTGTTCAAAAGTCAACCTGGTACACCTGATTTATCTTTCACCCTATGTCTCACTTGCATTTAGCTTTAACTGTTAATGGACCGATTGTAGTGTCCTAGTAACCATTTGTTGCCCTTGTTTGTATTTCACCATCCAGACCAGCCACCTCCCTCCATGCAAGGGGAAGGGTTGGTGTTGGATTCATTAGGACATTCTTTGCAACTCTCTGCAGATGCTCCCTTCCTGTGACTTAACATTCTTCTTCCTGTGAGATTCAGTCAGTTGCTTGTAAGTTTTAACTCAATTCTTTTGGAGACTTTATTATCTACTGTTGCATGATCTCTTTAGCATCAGATTGAGAAGGTTAAGCATATTTTTCAGAAGTAGTGTCGAAGTTTCCATCAATTACTCTGCGAAACAGTGTTTTCAGGATACCGCTAATGAGGTGGAAGGAGCCCGTGTGTGCCCAGCACCATCAATTGCAGAAGAGCTTTTGAGATATCCTGTTAAGTCCCAGGATAGCTTCTCTTGTTGAGCTGGGATCTTCTTTCATTAGTTTGGTGAGAACTTATTCTTCTTCAGTATTAGTTCCATTATTTCTTTTAGCTGATTCTCTTACAGTGGATCTTGTAGGAAAGTCCCGTGACAGGAAGCTTTACTGGTCATTCCACCATGTTATGCTTGTAGCTGTTGCGGATATGTCATTACTTAAACTTAAGTTGGAGAAATTGATGGATGATAAGTTTTTGCACTCTTCTTTTGCTTTCCCTTTTAGAGGTATGGCCTGATTTTGCTGAGTGAATGATGGCTCTAAAGTTCCGTAACTCTCTATCTTACATCTCATGGCTTGAGCTTTGTAAGTTACTTAATTTATCAGTTCCAAAGGTTTATTCCTGTGGTTTTCATAGGTTTTGGCACAGCCGATCATGTTACCCTTTGATATGCACTTAGCATGTCCAAATTTCGTGATGTATATGCACATTTTTATCCATTTGTAAGTAATCACGAGGCTGGTGGTCTTTTTGTGGCATGAATCAGGTGGACCTAGATCTGGATGGTTTGGGCTGATTACTAACTATAGATGGCTGTGTTATATTTTGGTTTGACGGTATTTCTGCCGTCTCTAGATGAGTGGGGTGACTCGAAGTATGTAGGTAGCCGATTTAGTTAAAAATTCTAATCATCGGGTCACTTGCTGATCAAACACCGGTGTATTTTTCCAGAGTGAGTACCCGAGGCTTCTGTAGTTTTACATGTACTCTTGTTGTACGCTGAAATTAGTTTGGACGACTGTTTCTAAATAAGGCGAAGCAATGAGAGTAATTGGTGGGCAGATTCCTATTACGACAAAGTGCTATTTAAACTGCTCATTTCTCGCGTTCTTATCATGAAAAAGCCATATTTCGGGAGTAGTTCAACGGAACGCCTCTGGCATAGGTTCAATGTCACTACCGGCAGCTGTGCTGCACTCATCCTTTGTGATGGCGGGTAAGTTTTGAAGGAAGGTGGCTAGTCCTACATGTGTATCTGCGCCTGCAGCTGCCTTTGATAATGTAAAAGCGGACGACATATTCAGATGCCTTATTCGATTTATTTGCAGTTTTCCTCGGAAAACTTGGTCATCTGTGGTCGTCAGGTTCGCTCACCCTGCAAGAGGCGAAACATTTGGTTCAGGCACCATGCATTTCGGGTCCGCGCACGTCGATTGCTTAGGGATTTGTGCGAGTGAAATCGTGAAGAAGAAGAGGAAGGGCCACTAATCAGAGCCAGTTGGTTATTGATCTGATCAATAGCCAACGGCTACTACTACTAATCACTGATCACGGCCCCTTCTTTTTTTCTCTTTTGCCTTTTTTGCCAACCCAATAAAAGAAACAAACCTAAGTCAAGCGCAATGAGTGAAAATAGTGAAAAAAGAAGGATAGATTTCGACATTTAATGTAAACTTCGACACAATATCGAAATGAACAATACTTGATTTAAAATTGTTGGGGAAGGACAAATGTGCAAGTACCATGATTTAGTATGTGAGCAATCTAGTTGCTCCTCTTCAGAGTATAATTTGAAATTGGAACTTTTGGCATCAATTTAGGTAGAGTTATTACTTATATTTTCATGTCGCAACATGGTATTCATCAGGTCGACTCAGACGATGCTAGCTTGCGGGTTGTGACTGTCAAGTAGGTGATGCGAAGGGCGTGAAATACAGAGAGGAGAATAAGGAACGAGAAAGGAAAACGATTTGCTCTCCTCAACAAGAAGGTAATCGATGTAATGGTTATAAGCAGCAACGACAAAAATTCAGACTGTAGGGAAATGCTGGGCGGACTCAGGTCAAGAATGGGTGAAAGTTTTAGAACATGCTTGCATGCGTAAAATAAAAGGGTTAAGCCAATAGACATGCGGCCTTGCTGGTAAAGAGATTTGGAGGGTGGGCCGGAGAGTACCAGGTTCGGAGTCTGATCCCCGTGAGCACACACATATACACATAATAGATGAATGAGATCAAAAAAATAAAAATGAAAGGGTAGAGAAATGCTCGGAAAATTTTATGGTGGTCCGGCCGAAATTGATGCCTATTCCGTTCGCCAAATCTGTCGGAGAGTTGCACCGAATCCACTAGTCAAAAGTTTGTATTGGGGTCGCTTGTTTATGGAGCCATCTCTCTTTCACAACTTGGCCACAATACCTAACCTCTCTCTTACACTTATATTTCATGATACGCTTGTGTTCGGTCAATGATTTTGTTCGCAAGGTGTTTACAAAAGCGAAGAGGTTGATTTTTCGACTATGTTTTAGAAAAGCCTGAGACTGTAAGGAATCTTATACAAGTTTAATTAGCTGTTAAGCATGGCTAGAATGGCTAATTTTCAACCATTATGCCATCCAAGTGGGAAAATTGTCCAAAAAGTCATAAATTTATTGTATAGAGGCCAATTCACTTGTAAACCTTTCAATTATGCCAATATAGTTCTACGCCTTTTGACAACTTACCAAATCAGTTTTAAACCTTTCAATTGTGCCAATTTAATTCTAATCTTTTTGATGATCTGTCAATTTAGTTCTAAACGTCTTAATGATTTGCCAATTTAGTCGTTCCGGCCAATTTTGGCCAGAAATCGCTAATGTGGCGGTTTAGTTAGTGCCGACCGCATGCCATGTAAGATTGTTGGCGCTGACATAGACAGTTTTTGCAAATTTTTTTTAATTCTATGATGTTTTCTATATTTTCCTTTCCTTTTTCTTTTTCTATTTCATTTTTTCTTTTTCCATTTTTCCCTCCACTAGCCATCACCAGGCCTTGTCGATGGCCGGCGGAGGCAGCCACCTTAGGCGAGGGACGCCCGCACCTAGGTTAACGAGGGCTGCCGTCACCCAATTTGGCAGGGCTGCCCACATCAGTCTAGACAAGGGTGGCCCTCGCCAGGCCAGTAAGGGCGACCCTTGATAGCCTAAACCCGAGTGGCCCTCACCTGAGGTCGGCGAGGACGACACTCATCTGAGGCCAACGACCTCCACCGGCCCTCGATGAGGCTCGGTGGAGGGAAAACGAAAAAAAGAAAAGGGAAAAAATTTAAAAAAATTCAAAAAATTGCAAAAAATGTTCGTGTCAACGTTGGCTGTGCCACATAAGACGGCCATGGCTGACTAGACCGCGTCAACAATTTCCCATCAAAATTGATCGGAATGATTAAATTTGCAAATCATAAAAAAATTTACAACTATATTGACACAATTGAAAGGTTTACTACTAAATCGATATAATGAAGTGTTCAGGACTAAATCGGCTGACGTACAATAAATTTAGGACTTTTCAGATCATTTCCCCCCATCCAAGCGCTTGCACAAGGAACTCCGATCCCCCCGAACGGGCCGAAGAAGTCGCTCATAACTCCAGCATCACAGACACGAAGAAGCTGTCGAATATCGTCGACTTGGTCAAGTATCGTGCCAACATCCATGAGTTGGACGAAGAGGCTCGAATTCCCCCATCTCGTCGGATGGAGAAAGCACGTCTCGAGAAATCGGTAACCGGGATCGAGATCGATGTAAGGATGTCGAAGAAGAGGATACTTCTTTTCTCGAACTTTTCCCTTGCCTTCTATGGCTCTTTTGACCTTCTAGTATTACTCTTTGGTTAGAAAATGGTACTTCGCTTGGGCTCTGAATTCTCTCTCGCGCTCGACAAGCCTGAGCAGTGCCCTTTTACGAGGCGACATCCACCGGCCATAGATATCGTGAATGGAAAGGCAGAGCAGAGAAAAACGCAAGCGCTTGGCATGGGCACGCATCGAAGAACTTCCGAAGGTATTTTAACAAGAAGTATCTAGTAAAGACGCTATGGCCCTGAAAGCTCGCCCAAACCCGTGTGTCCGGTCGCCTTGTCCCTTGCGCTCGATGAACTTTGTACGAGCCGATACCCGCTTCAAAACACTTGGAAAATGCTTTTGGATGTTGATAGTTCGTTTGTAAAAGAAACAAAGAGGTGCCTTGTCTCGCAACGAAAAGATATGAGTGGGTGAACTAATATATAAGTGGGAGGCTTCTAGCCTTACGATTGAAGACCGTGGGTAAAGTGGACTAGACCCTACAGTACCCGCGCGCGGGTGCGTGATTATTAGGCGCACTTAGCATGCTTGCACGCCACGCTCGTGGACCAGAATTCGCACTATGGGTTATTTTTTTTCCAAATTCGAATTTATAGTTTTTTAAACATGTAAAGTTGTTTTCCTTTTTAAACAATATTTATGTTCACTGTACACTTTCAAAAGGATGCAATGTTTCGGTGGTTGTATCTATTCAAACATAATTTTCACTATTATAAATTCAACGTTTCTGGTTCAATAATTAACACATTTCAATTTCTTTCCTTTTTTAAAAATACAACTTTATTTTCCAATTGTTTCTTTTTGAGAGTTCTTGGAAAAAAAAAAAACAAAATTGCTATATGGTACTCTCGTTCTGAGACTAAGTTGTATCATGAAGGATTGTTTGCCAGTAACCATTAGCAACCTTATAGGGCAAACAATTTCTTAAAAATAGTTTATTTTACGTCTCAAA